ACAAGACCTTTATTTTATTTATTTATTTTCTATGTGGTGCTGCGGATCCAACCCAGTGCCTCACATGTGACAGGCAAGCCTTCTACCACTGAACCACAACCCTGCCAGTTCCTTGATTCTTGAGCAGAGACCTTTTTTTCATATTTCACCCTTTGCCTTTCATATTGCCCTTTGGTTTTCTCACTCTAAATAAAACAAGATAAGAGGGAAAATGTCAATTTTTCATAAGAAATGATATGCTTTCGATGATAGACATAGTGATAACTCACCTATGGGATTCTGAATGATAGGAGTAGGATAGTAGTCAGGGCCCAAGGCAGATACTGGTGCTTTTAACAGCTTAAGTTTGAAAATGGCAAGGCAAAAGTTGGGGCAAGGAAGGTGTGAATCTGCAGGGCTCCTGTGTGGGGCTGACAGCACAGGATAGTGAATCTGAAATAGAAATGGGTTTCGGAGACCAAAAATGCAGGAGCAGGCTGTGGGAACTACTCTTGGGGCTTAATCTGAAGGCAAATGGTGAAAAAAAAAAAGGGTTTTGTTTTCCCATTCACTGAAGGTTTTGTTCTTCTGCTTTACAAATGATTGACTAAATTCATGAAATAACTTTTTACTTTTTTTTTCTTTTATTTGAAGAGGGGATAAAATGTAATGAAGAAAAATTCCCTGGGCTGAGGCTGTACCTCAGTGGTAAAGTGCTTGCTTCACATGTGTGAGGCACCGGTTTTAAGCCTCAGTACCACATAAAAATACATAAAGACTGTGTGTTCATCTACAACTAAATAAATACTTCTTAAAAAAATCCCTCACAATTACTATAATCACTTAATATAAATCTCATTATCTTATTATAGACCAAATGAGGCTGATTTAATTTGAAAAACTTCCTAAAGGCCCTAGAAAATGAAGGGCATAGATGGAAAGTGTTCGTGCACAAAGACACTACTATAGCTGGATATTCCAGGTTCCGTCTGGCCACCACTCCACCTTGTACCTTTCAACCTAAACAAGGAAGGTGTGAATCTGCAGGGCTCCTGTGTGGGACTGGCAGCACAAGGCAATGGATCTGAAATATAAATGGGTTTCAGAGACCAAAAAAGCAGGAGCAGGCTCTGGGAACACCCCTGGGGGATACATGCCTCCAGCAGGCTCTTCTTCCCTTCTGTACTTTTGCATGCACTGATCTACTGTGACTAGGACCTCATCTGTAGTAGCTTAGGGATAGCAAGACCTGATAGGTGCTTATACAGAAGTCTCCAATCCTATACATAAAGGAAGTCATTTCTGTGACTTCAATCATCCTGCTCAGCAACCCTCAGGTAAGTGGATTGGTTCTTGCCTGCTCTAGGCTTTCCCAAGGTGGGGAATTTCCCCCCACATTGTGGTCCCTTTCCAGGTAGAAGTCTAGGACTGCAGAATTCTGCACCTGCTCCCACAGGAGAGAATAAATTTAGTTTTATTCATCTTTGTTTTTTGTAATGCTTCTAAAATTCATCTATTGACACATATTTACAACAAATATTGACGGGGTTCATGTTATATCTTCATTCATACACAGTGTATTGGTCACTTCCACCAACTTGTCTTCCATCTTCTCCTCACCCTTTCCTAGAACTTAATAATCCCTACTTTACATTCAAGTAAACTTTTTGTTTATAAAATTCTACATTTGAGAGAGAACATGCCATACTTGTAGCTCTTTTCGTAACAACGGGCGGAGGTAAGTGCTCTGAATATGCTTAAGTGAATAATAATGCAGAGTTGATGACATTGAAGGTAAAAGGATCATTAAACAGAGGAGCCTGTGTTTCTATAAGATGTAAAATATACATGCTTCTGATTATTTTTTAATAACCAATTTCTGGTAACCAGGCAACAGTGTGCCATACCTGCAATCATACCTATTAAAGAGCCTGAGGTGGGAGGACTTCAAGTTTTAGAAAGTCTGGGAAATTTAGGAAGTCTCTGTCTCTAAAAGAAAATACCAATAAAGGGGTTCTGGTAGAAGAACATGAAAAATCCTTATACCTTAGGGAGATATTATAAAGGGCCACAGTTATGCATTTGTTCTTCATTGGGATTATGCTTCTAGGATAATAAATAGTATGATCATGTAAGAATTATTAAACCTTTACAAAGGTTATTTGTTGTACTATGTCTCAGGAACTGTTGTTACTTTGTTCATATGTCCTTTTTTCTTTTTCATCATTGAGAATTAAAGACAGGTCACTAGAGCAAATCTATATCTCCAGGCTTTTTACCATTTTGAGAGAGGGTCTCCTTCAGTTGCTCACCTGACCTCAAACTTTCATTCCTTCTGCCTCAGCCTCCTAGTTTCTGGGATTACAGGTTTGTGACAGAACTATGTTGGACTGACCTATGGTTTCTTAAAATCCTAAAACATAATTTTTAAAATTAACAATTTTGTTCTCACTTCACAGATTGAACAATATCCACCAGCTGTGCCTTAAAAATTTTAAATTTAAAATGATACTTTCATCTATTAAAGGTTGAGACAAGAATTTAAATATGAACTATATTTGCTTATTTGATATTTGAAGTCTATAGCTTATCATCCCTTCCCCACACCAACTTCTCTCTTCCCCTTAGTCCTTATAATTTAGGAATTCATCAGTAGAGAAACAAAACAGGTAGATGAGAATTCCAGTCAAGACTGGAGAATTGATCTCCAACTTTTCTCCAAACAGTCCTCTCTATGGAGGACTCAGCTGCAGCATTATGTATGGTTTCATTTGGGATAATGAATTAAGCCTTTGTAGAAGCAGAGGTACATGTCCTGAAGAAGCACTGTGAACATGGGGTTTCACATATAGAAAGCAAACAGAGAGTCTGGCATATCATAATGAGTAAGCCTTTGTGAAATAGTTTAGCCTTAATCTATTTAATCTAATTAATTAATTACTTAATCTAATTAATTACTGATACAAATTAGAGTTATTATAATCTCGTCCAAGATGATTGCTCTTTTTTTTATTTGTTCTTCCTAGATATATAGGACAGTAAAGATGATTGCTTTTCAACTGAAGTTCATCAGTCCCAACCTTGTAAGCAATTTGCTGCCAAGAGTACCATCATCACCCAACATATTGAACTCTACCTTGAAATTGTGCAAGAGGGCCATCAGTAAACACCAAATGCTGAGCAGCCACTCAATCCTTTGCCTCCTCTCTCAACCCTGCCACTGCTTCTTCTGATCCAGAGGCCAAAGTCATGGACCATTCACTCCTGTGTGAAGCAGGCTCTGGAATCTGCAGAGATGACAGGAAGATTCCAGTTGCCTTTGTCACTGAGCTTAGAAGATTCTGGGCAATAGTTCCCCCTTCTGTCCTCAGCTGGGAGAACCCTGGTGGGAAAGCCTATATTTCCATTGGAAACTGCTCTCAAGGCCATGGGGGCTGGTATATTGGGTATGCCTCCACCCAGACACTTGCCTAGAGCCTACACACCATAGAACCATCCCTAGTTCTACCTGCCTGCCTTACCGGAACCCTATGCCCATGACACCAAAGAACTCAAATTCAGCCTCAGGAGAGTGGCATGCTGCAAAGCAACGAGGCAGTCACCTGCCCTGGCAGATTCTCTTAGTCAAATTCATATAGTCCTAGAGATAGACTCCCCAGAGACATGCAGACTTTTAACCTTGACCCATGACCACTGAGTCCTAGGAGTACTGAGTGGTGGTAGATTTTATTTCTACTTCTGTTCCAGAAAAATGTAAGGCATATCACTTTCCAAAGTCTCCTTGTTTACTTACTAGTAGGCAATTGATGTTATTTTTAGAGGCCCTCATAAATATTTGGTTCCCTTGCTCAACAGTAGACAGAATGAAGAGAGAAGGAAAGATAGAGGAGTGCTGCAAGAGGTGGGAGACAGAGCTCTGATTCTGAGCTGTGCTGTGGACTTCACATCAGAGCCTTAGAGAAGGTCTCCTTTGGACAGAGGTATGGAAAGTATCCAGGGAAAGCAATGCAAAGGAGCCCCAAATTTTGACCTCAAACAAATCTATCCAACTATAGGAAAGAATATGTGGGACAGCAGGAGTTCCTTAGTTGGGAAGTGTATCTCTTTGCACAGTATTTGTATCCTCCATCTACCTAAGGAAGGGTCTGGAGTCTCCAGTGACTAATACTCCCACAAGGCTGTCCCTGTCCAGCACACCTCTCTCAGATACTAACATCTCTCAGACTGGTGTCACTGAGATCCAGTTTATTACCAACCAGGAAGAGGAGGTCCTGGAAGGCAGAATGTCTGCCTCTGGTCCCAGGATTCCTATAGTAATGAGTTAAAATATATAGAAAATGTATAAATGTCTGTATTTAAACAATTTATTTCTTGATGGAAAGGGTTACACACACAAAAAAAATTGCAAAATATCTTGGTGAAATTTTGAAAGACATGTTTTTTTTTTACCTGATATTTGCTCAAATAAAAATTATATAAAACTAACCTTATAAAAACATCCTAAAAGCAGAAAGATTTTAAATACTTTTTTATGGAGAATATATTTAAAAATTTTTTTTTTCAGTTGTAGATGGACACAACACCTTTATTTATTTCTCTTTATGTGGTACTGAGGATCAAACCCAGGGCCCCACACATATTAGGTGAGCACTGTACCCCTGAGCCACAACCCCAGCCTAACAGGAAATGTATTATTTTATGTATAAAACATAAGTCCATTCTTTTGGGGTTGTTAAAAATGAGAGACTATAATAAGCTCAAAGACACAAAGTGGAATATAAAAGCTCGATTGTATTCCTTCTGTCTTTAGGAACAGACACTGAATATACACAATTTACACACAAGGGATAAAAGAATATTAGCAATCTGATCAAATGCAAAAGCAGATTTCAGACTGAATATCAGAGAATGTCTCTCAAAATCACACAGCAACTGACCCATAGAGAAAGACTTTCAGAAATTAGAAAATACTGGACAGGCAGCCATCAGCACCAGAGCAAACCTCTACAGAGCCACAAAGCCCCTGGCAAATGTCAGAATACTGGGTCATTCCAAGTGTTTGTGGGGAACGTGTGCATGCACACCACTATTGGAAAGTAAATGCTGCATTCACCCTAAAGAACAATCTAGCAATTATCGGTAAAATTGAGGTCATACACTTTTTATGGAACAATTCTATTGATGGTCACCTGCCCTAGAGAAATTCTCCCACAGGTTCATAGAGACAATTATGTGTGGTTATGGGAGACAGCAGCAATATGAATGTTCACTGCAGGACAACGGAGAATTAGGGTGTGCTAAGGCACATCAGAGGCTACTCTGTCAGAGTTTGAAGCAGGAGATGAAATGTACATTAAAAGATCTTAGTAACTTGCAGATGGGGACTTTGAGTGCAGATTAGTGGTAGAGTGCTTGCTGGCGTGCATGAAGCCCTAGAGTCAATACCCAATGCTACCAAAAAAGAAAAAAAAAAGAACAAAAGAAAGAAAAAAACAGGAAATGTTAAAATTTCTTCTAAATAAAATTGGGTATTTCCCTTGAAATTTTTACATCAATTAAAAATATAAATCACCTGAAGAATGAATCACTCCTCTTCCTATAACTTGTCAGAGGTGATTTGTTGAAAATGGTTCACTATTGTCTTGATACAAAAAGCTCCACAAAATCTTACAAACAAGAGATTCAAATCTTTGTGCTCATTTTTAGAAACAAACTTTCAAGGCCATCAAGGGTATGCATATCCAAATGGCCAAAAACTATCTGAAAGATGTCACTTTAAAGAACCAGGTGACTGGGCATAGTGGTTCATGCCTTTAATCCCAGCAGTTCCAGAGACTGAGACAGCAGGATCCCAAGTTCCAGGCCACCTTCGGAAACCTAGTGAGGCCTTATGCAACTTAGTGAGACCCTGTCTCAAAATAGAAAATTAAAAGGTGTTAAGGTCTGTAGACAAGTCTAAATAACACGTGGTATTTTGCCAGGGAAATGTTAGAGTTCGTAAACAAGTCTGGATGGTGCCTGGCAAAATGCCAGAGGGAGTGGTTTGTGAAGTAACAAAATCGAGCCATTAAGTGTGGAGATTCCTTATTGGTTGATGATGTATCTGGTTTATGCTAATTAAGATAAGCTGTGCAAAATGTATAAATAGCTCTGTTGTCCTACAATAAATGGCTTCCATTCCTGCTGTATCAACGTACACAAGTTATTCGTCACCCCCAGGTTATTATGCTGCAGCCGGACTGCGGCAAAAAGGAACCTGGGAATAGACTCAGTAGTAAGTACTCCTAGATTCACTCATCAGTAACCAAAAATAAAAATAAAAAATAATAACACTATGTGCCCTTCCACTGTTAACATGTGGTTGGTGTGTCTAGGCCAAACAATGGAGCTGACACAGGTCCACTGACCAAAAGAAATCGCTGATTTTGGCAGACATACTTACATATGAATAAAATAATGCTGAACTTGAGAGTTTAGATGTGGATTTTCTGTCATTGAATGTTTCTAGATGAACAAAGAACCCAAGATATACTGCCACATTTATAGAGCTCATGTCCAGATTAAGTCATACATGAACTCCCTCTGCCACATTCAGATGATTCTCAATGAAAAACAACAATTTTTCCTAAACCAAAAGAAGAAAATGCACTCACACATGCATACACACACACACACACACACACACACACACACACACACACACAAAAGAACTCAAAGAGGAAGAAGAAGAAGAGAAAAAGAGGAAAAGGCAGAGGAAGAAGAATAAAAGAAAGAAAAAGAAGGAGGGAGGAAGTGTGGGGGAGAGGGAGACAATAAAATGTTCTTAAATTGCTGAGGCTAGCCTTGAACTTTCAGTCTTCCTGTTGCAGCCTCCTCAGTTACTCAGATTACAGATGTGCTCCATCACAGCTGACTAAATAAACATTTCAATAAAATAGAAATGGGAGGAATTGCAATGAAAATAGGGTATGTAAAGGAGAACAACTCAGGATAGAATACACATATTTACATTAAAAAGTTTAGACTCCTGAAAAAAAAACACACCAATATACAAAATGTGGCATTAATTCCATTCATTTGCTCTTTAGACAGGAAAATCAGGAAATTTAGATACCTTTTGATGCAGGAAATCTAGACGTGGATTAGAAAAATTACAATTCTAAATAGCCATAGGACTCTCTTTTTTCTCAACACAACCTGCTCCCCTACTTGTTTCCCTGCTTAGCTATGTATGCTTGAAAATTTAGCTTTTCCATCCAGCTCCAGGATGAATTAGCTTATGGTTTTAAGAGTATAATTAATAATTATAATTAATAAGTAATTGCGTGGTTTTCATTTTTTTTTTTTTTGTATTTTATTTAGAGACAAGTCTCACTGAGTTGCTTTGCACCTTGCCCTTGCTGATGCTGGCTTTGAATTCAAGATTCTCCTGCCTTGACTTCCCAAGCCACTGGGATTACAGAGGTACACCACCATGCCTGCTTAATTAATCTATGTTTATCTGAAATAGAGAAAGAATTTTTACAGTGAATTGAAACTAGAAAGAACTAGAGCCTCACTTCTGTCCTACCTCATCCACCCATCCTTTCCCTAATTCAATCAAAACCAAGGAATTTCCAAAATGCCTTCAGGATTGGTCCACTCTCACCTTAATCCTATCAGGTTCTTCAATCAATTTATAATGCAAATGAATGTCCCTCCCACATGATTGGGTATGACTTCTGAGGTCAGCTACAGGACAGAACACTATGAAAAGCTGCAGTTCATACCAGACTGAATGAGTTGCTCCTTTTCCTAGGCCAGGTGCACACCTTGGCATATAGGGAAGCTTAAGTTATGGCAGTCTACCTGTCAACCTTGGGATCATTGACTCTTAGGAGATTTTGTCCAGAGCCCTTCATTCCCCGAGGCCTGAACCCAGAATAGGCATGGGCCTGGGCTGGATAATTTTTCTGCACTGAGCTGCCACTTCTGCTAATGCCTCCAGAGCTGCAGAGATGTGAATTTTCCAGTAAGCCAACTGCCTCACTGGGCTTATACAAAGCAGGGAGCTGTCTTTGGGGAACTTAGGTAGTGTACTAACAGAATATGTTGTTACACAGGAGCAGGAAGTTAAGATGGACCAGCACCGAGTTCAAGACCCTAGCATCCAGCAGCCAGTGATTGAAACTTCTCAGGAGCTCCAGTCACCTCAAGAAGAGGCAAGCACTACTATAAGTGGGACATAATGAGCCCTGAACCTCCCAGGAGGTGCCATTGCCTGGGCAATTAGATAGACACACACTCACGCTGTCTCCTGGAGCCCAGGTGGTCCCTGGAAACTGCTGAAAACCGAGGCTTACATCCCAGAGGAACCCTGAAAGGAAAGGAACACCATTTTGAGGTGCCTTGAAGTGCAATGCCCTTCAGCCAAAGCCCTAGAAAGAGCCTGACAGACTCCAGTGGAAACCCTCATACTGTCCCTGTGGACTTGAAATCTTGGCTGTGCTGATAATCCCTTATTTTGTTCTTTCTCTCCTGAATGATTTAAAGGTTCTTGAATAAGAAAAACTCTGTGTAATTAATTTGTTAAGGAACTCTTCTTTTAGATGGACTGAGTATTCTCATAGTTTCTAATCTGATTAAATTTTTCATGATGATGAAAGTCATTCCTTTATTCACTGCTTGTCTATTGATCTTGAGGGGATGAGTAGAGGATCAGGATGGGAAGCTGTATAGGTAGATCTGGGACAGGAAGTAGATAATTACCCAAGTCAGAGCTGTGGCCTGAACCAGTGGAAATCTCTGGAGATATGAGGGTATGTGGTAACTGAATTTGTAAATGGGTGGCCACTTGCTGGTGTTTCTTCAAAACTTAATGTGACCTTCAGAGGAGGGGAGAGAATCAGCATCAATAAGTATCCTTTAAATGGTCTACAGTTACTTTCTTATTAACTAAGATAGGACGCCAAAATGAAATCTCTGGTCTTGGGCCTCTGAGTTGACAACCATGGGATCCAAAACATCAGCTCTAGGTCAGACATGTCCAGGCAGTGACAGAATCCTGCCCTGGTGGGCTGTGTCCAGTGTAAGAGACTTCATAGATTGTACTTCAAGATCCAAACTCAGGTGGCTTTAGCAAACTATCATCAGCAGGGTGTCATGATGTGTACCCATAGTCCAAGCTACGCAGGAGGCTCAGACAGGAACATTGCTTGGGCCCAGAACTTTGAAGCCACCCTGGGCAATAGAACAAGAACCTGTCTCAAAAAAATAAAAAGATAAATTACACTGGGCTGAGCTTCAAGGGATGTAAATGCCTTCATTAGCATGAACATGGACTTTTAAACTTTCCCATTCCCTGAAATATAGTAGGTTTTAAATTGAGAGGATTTGGATTTAGAGGGGCCTAGGTGCTAGGTCATACTGAACAGTGGGATTAGACTTGTTTGCCTTGTTTTTCTCATCAGTTTAATTGAGTGTCAATTGTCCATGGCAGGGAATGGTAGTAGAGGTCAAAGAGGAGTTTGGAGTATTTATGTTGTTATAGTTAAGGCTTCATCCTGGGGTTTCATAAATTGACTTCCAGACTACTCATGTATAATTGAATGAAGACTTTATTGAAGCATTTTGGACAATTTTATTGAGAAAGCAGAAGAAAAATGCACAAGAGCTCTGAAGTCTCCATGGTCGACTTGCAAACACAAGCTTTACTTCTAGTTCATCCCTTCCAAAACTCTCCTCCAAACATGGTTGCAGGGGAAATTTCCGTGTTCCTGGGTCCCAAAGGTTGTAGCTCAAGCAGCTTCAGGGAGTTTTGCACAAAAGGGCCCAGATCCACTCCCAGCTTTTTTTCTCCTGGCCTCTGGCAGGGGAAGGGGAAAGAGGACTCTGAACAAAAGTCACCACCACCAGAGGTCTTGGCCTCTAGACCTCCCTCACCCCTGTACCTGAAACAAAGGGAGCCCCAGCAGATGGTTGATGGTGGGGCACCTTAGAGACCCCAGACTTTTCTATGTGTGCCTGCGGCTTCTTCTGGGTCAAGGATACCTGATCCAGGACAAGAGATTCTGTGTCCTGGTGCAAGATGCTGTGTGCTCTGGGAAAGTCATCTTTCCATGACCAATGCCAGAGAAGAGGTCCTTGGGGTATGGAATTCAGGTTGCTGTGGAAGGCGTGGCTGTCATAAGAGATAACTTGTTGCTGGATGTTGAAAGGCAGCGACTGAGGTCCAGGATATATTGAGCTCAGTGTTGGAGGCCTCTGGAGACCTGGCTCCTTGTATGCAGAATTCTAAGCCTGTGGCATACAACAGAGAAAGTGCTGCTCCATGGTGTTGTGGGCCTCACACCAGGTACCACCAAGTATGTGGGGCTTAGCAGGCACCAGATTTGGTGTTCTGAAACTCTTCTGGCCTCCAATGGGTTTCTAGCCACAGATTGAGAATAAAGGTGGTGCTTGCTTTAATCCTGAAATGAAATCCCATCAGAAATCTCCATTAATGAGATTAACAACAACAACAAGTATCTGTTAGTCACTGTAATAGGAAGTCTTGCTCCATGCAAGACACTGAAAAATAGACATTTTTCTTCTGGCTTTAGAAGCATTGTCAACACAATACATAGATAATCACAACATGGTTTGGTTGTAACCCTTTTCCTTCCTGAACTCTGCCTGTGTGATAGAATAATTGTGACCAGGAGTACTTCCAAAAAACAATATAAACTGGGAAATGAAATTTGGTTTTCAGATATGGTGCTATAATCTGATTGATCTATCACCTCATCCCACACTCTATCTAATATGTAGCTTGAGAAATAAAACCCTAATGATAATAGTAGGACATGAGCTCTTTGAGTAAATTAGGCCACAATCCCTCATAAAAGTTATTTATAGCCCATAGAGGAGATGTTGTAAAAAATATTTTAAAGATAACTGC